TCAAAATCAGCATCAATTCCTTTATTTAAAAAATCACTCAAAACGCACTTATTCCAACAATAACATGAAGCGCCACTGATAATTACTTCGGTTTTTTAAATGGCGCTATATAAGTTCTTACTTTATTATTTTCATGTATACAGTACTATTTTGACGGTCTGTAATAAAGTTGGAAGAATCCACATCAGGGAGATCTGTTTGAATAACCGAAAGGTCCACTGATTGATCTCAAGTAAGATAGTATAATACAGACTAAGTATCGAAATGCACGCCATTGTGTCGGGATTCAATATTTCGACATTAATTATGTCATTAGGAATTCTTAAAATGATGACATAAGTAATGTCGAAATACTGAATATTATACTATCTTATCTGTTTGAATAAGTTTTCTTAATATATCTAAATATATTTTCTGTGTACGCCGATGATAACCATTATTATTGCACTAACTTCTGGCAGACAATTGATAATACAATAGAAAAAAAACTTGTGAAAGCATGCAAATATCATATTGAATTTGCGGGAGATCGTTTATTTCGGAAGATTCTTGCTTGCTCGCGGAAGTGTGGGAGGCCTTCCCCGCCGATTTCCAGACTCCATTCTAAGACTCTACAGAAGACTTGGGATTCCTGGGCACTAAATGTTGTCCTCAGATTAATTAAAAAAATAATACATTACATGCTTAAAATTTACAGTTACTGCATGCTGTTGTTTATTCTTAATGAAACATTTCATGGTAGACATGAACTTGTCTTTCCATTAAAATATTACTAACATTGCCACTAACATTATCATTATTCAATATACACAAAACAGTGCATTGGCTAATATTATGTGTAATACAACAGTATAACACAATTTACTGTATTATGGAAACACTTTATTTTATAGTGGTCTTTAATTGGAGGGAAAATTTTTAGTTGGGTCCGCCAAAACCATGGTCTTTGGTCTGTAAATAGAGGGAATCTTTGGTGGGAACACCTAATGATAAAAATAAGCACAGGGGCCACAGAAATGTGGGCGTTAATTAATTGGAGGTGGTCTAATTAATTTAAAAGGAGGTAGTCTAATTGGAGCGAGACCTGTAGGCCTACATCATACATCCTTACATTTGTCTGTCTGCAAACGAATTATGTGTTGGCAAGTGAAATAGTTTTCTAGTTCTAACTTTCATCCAATTGATTTTACTTCTAGGACATTTGCCTCTTTCTTAATACTTTTGAAACTATTCCACTGATATATTGATTAAAATTATATTTTTTGAAAGAAATAAATGTTATTTAATTGATTGATGAAAAATTTAAAACATAATAAACAAATGATTTTCAAATTTTAAATTTCCAGTCATAAATCTCAGCCCCAACCATGGTGGAGCTCAGGTGGTATAGACCCTCCATCTGTGCCCCCTCTTTTTAAAATTTAGAATACAATGACAAACATGATTAACCAGCAGATCTGAAACCTCGCAATGGAGCTGGCGACCAGAAACCCAAAAATTTCCCCAAAGTCTCTGAAAGCTAAGTGGTGTAGTTTTTAATATCATCATGTTAGAAATGTTTATGAGTGTACAGTATTTTTTAACTCGTAAATGAGATTGCTTTTAAACTAATGTCCCAATTTAGTTATCTGTACTGTACTGTACATCATTTTATTGTTGCCATTTTTTGTTGAATAAAAGATACCAAGATATATAAAGCCCCACCATTACGCCATTGTGTACGACACAAAAAAATAATGAAAAAGAAATCCCCATGGTTAAGGGTCAAAATTGGTTTACATGAGGGAAGAGAATTTTGGTTTGATACTAAGTATATTGCTGAAAGGTGTCAAAATTTAAAGTTGAATGGTTATGTTAAGTGTCCCTCCTAATAGGGGTTAAACACGTACAGTACCGACATGACTATTTGGCACTCTCAGAAAGTGTCCCAGTCACCTTAATAGAAATTACAAAGCTCAACAAGGAATGCAATTGAATGTTGGTGAATGTCTGCACAGAATGTTGGTTGGTGAAACACATACAGTACTAGAATATTATCGATCAAACATGCCCTACAATATCATCATTATACAGTACTAGAGTATTATCGATCAAACACGCCCTATCATCATGAATATTAATCATCTAACTACTGTAATCAAATATTTTTTCAGATGTTTTATATTTTAAATAGCTGGCCTTCTTGGTCCAGTAAGAAGGTTTACCCATTACATTAATAAACACCACAAATTATACACACTAACAAGATTTCATTTTTTTAACAAATTCACAAAAAGTTACTTTTATTACATGCCCAAGATCGAATTTGACGTACAGTACAATGTAATCAGTTTGCTTGGTTTCACTTTACAAAACATTAACAAAATGACACCAGCCAAAGAATAAAGACAGACAAAGAATAACCTAGGAAAAAAACATTAAACTACTACCTCACATTATAGGATACATTACTTTGTGAGATTGCTTAATGTAAAATGAACAACATTACTACCTCGCATTATAGGATACATTACTTTGTGAGATTGCTTAATGATGCAACATGAACAATATTACTACCTTACATTATAGGATACATTATTTTGTGAGATTGCTTAATATAACATGAACATACAGATCAATGGCTAGCTGAAATGTAGTTAAAAAAACAAGTGCAGAATAATAAATAAAATAAAAATTATGCAAAATAAACTAACTGCATGAGGACTTGCTGCATGCAATATGACAGTGAAGTATAGTTCATTATTCCTGTTTTTGTTTTTTTTTTCAAGTAAACTTGTCACTTGATAATATACAATGCACTGTAGCTTGATATTTACCTTATACATAAGTACACAGAGATTACCAAATAATTTATGCCTAAGTAAAATAAAGCCACAAGATTTAGATCAAATTTCTTTACAATTACCATTATGGGTGATATTTTTCATAACAAATATAGGAAACATTATACAAAGTCTAAAATATTAAAACAACGGAATAACTCTGCGGAAAACGGTTGTCTGAAATTTTATCGCCGAACTGCTGGTCTTTCATAAGGAGGTCTTTCATAGGGAACACGGTCATATCCTCTATCGTAGCCTCTATCGTATGATGGTGGAGCTCTATCATACCGGGAAGAACTATGTAAGAAATGATAAAAAGGAAAAAAGCATTAATGATGTATACTGCAATTAAATTAAATAATACAATACTGTATTTCCTTTTTGACTTGTAAACTTATTAGAAATGCTGTAAATACATATGTACCATTAACTTTCAAACGATTTTGTTTAAAGACAAAAAAATGCAATGTAAAAAAAACCAAAAAAACATCAATTAAAAGTTAATAAAAACATTGAACAGATAATTTAAAAAGATCAAATAGCCTAAAGCCTCAATCGCACTGGATTTATTTCAGTAAAAGTAACCGTCTTGTCGGTAAGTTTGACCCAAAAAATCCAGTGCGGATAGTCCAGCTCGGTTAACTTGACTGTCGCCGCCGGTTAGTTTTCGGGAGTGAAATTTACTCAGTAATTCCTACCGATCTACTTTGACCGGCCTGGAAAATCCAATGCGAACAGCCACAGGTGGGTTAAATTAGGCCTCGCTAGGCCTGAAATATCGGAAGGAGAAATTCTAGGCCCTCGTGATGTTGGCCTAGTCAGTCGAAGGAACAGAAACAGATCACAACGGCGATTTGCTTTGATTAGATCAGTGTTGCATGTCAGTACGGGTCACGTTACGGGTCAAAATGTACCGCCTTCAAATAATTAATTTTAAACTACTTGGGAAAACTAACCGAGTTGAAAAGTCCAAGTGTGATTGACGGCAACATTTACCCTAGAAATGTTTACCGTGATGACGGTTACACATTCCCAAAATTTAATCCAGTGCGATTGAGGCTTAATATTAACTTCAAAAACGAAGAAACAGATAGAAACAATTGATGGTGATTTACAAATACTGTATAAGAGTCTATGCAAAAGAATACACAAAGGCATTCAACTGTCAATTGGCACATAATAACTGAACAATCATAATTTCCTTAAAAGTGAGGACTCACGATGATGGAGGTGGGGCATAGTCACGCCCATAGTCTCTCGGGTAATCTCGTGGGTATTCACGGCCATAATCTCTACCTCTTGGTGGCAGTGGTGGTGATCTAAAATTAATACACAAAAAATCCAATTGGTTGAGCAATTCACACTAATACTGTACAACAAATTGCTATATTTTTTTATTATCAAAGAGAAAAAAATAATCATAAGATGGAATAACACAGGTTGAGACAACAAAATTCCACTAGTCACTTTGCATTACGAAAAACTATTGCATGTTATATACATTTTTTACCAATGGAGATACAGCTCCACCCCTAACAAAAAAAACCTCTCCAATTAAAAATGTTCTGCAGCCCCAGATGAATGTTTATCTTTTAATGACAATTATTTCTGAAACAGAGACCAAAGCTGCTAAATACCATGAAAACCCTGGTCCCAATAGTAACATTTTATCTTGTGTGAATGGAATATTAGATTAATCGAATAACATTAATGAGTACAGTATTTACAGCCATGAAAACCACTGCACTATTAAAAATAATGAATTCCTGATGACCTGAAATAAATCATTAAATGCTAACCAAATTATAACCGGCCAAAATCCATATACAGTTAAAGAGAAAAAACATTTACCATTTGCAAGCGCAGGAGGCGTCCATTGAGAACACACCAATGGCGTTAACCTTATCGCTAACTTTCGCTCTGTGCTTGATATGTGTGTCAAGTCTAGCCTAGCGACTCAAGATATTACAGCGTTTATAAATTGCAGTACATAACAGCTTCCAAAGAGGTCAATTTGATATTAAATTTGAGACATGCTGAATCAATGAAATATACATCTGCTAACAGTGATTCTCGCTGAGGCGTTTCTCTACGAAATTATTAGTCAGCTATTCAACCAATGTGATGATGTCAATACTGATAATGTTGATATTCTCTATTTAGGCCAGCTACTCTACCCAGTATTATATTCACTGCTTTGTTGGGCAACATTGATAAGCTATTGGGCTTTATGTTTATTGTATTATACTTCCAAGAGCTGTTGCAGCAGATTCTATCAAAAAAGTAAATGGAATTTTTGTAAATCTAGCAATAACTTTTATAAAATTATTTGGGTAGATCAGAAATTTTCTCTACTCGCTTGAGCTGTTTGTATTACATAGTTTGATTTGCTGAAGTTTAGAATAAATGACTCGCATTAGGTGGAAGTACCAGATCATGTAGCGATTTTGTCTTTTACAATGCAGATACTGTATGTGGAATGTAGATATCAGCTGTACTTAAGCTTCCTCACAAAATTTACATAAAATTAAAGAAATAAAACATTTTTATTTGCAAGCGCAGATCAACAGGAGTCCTTTCAGAACAGACCAATGGTGTTAACCTTACCGCTAACTTTCACTCTGTGCTTGATACTGAGGCTAGCGTATACAAATTGCAGTACATAAACAGCTTCCAAGGAGGTCAATTTGATATTAAATTTGAGACATGCTAAATCATTGAAATATACATCTGTTAACAGTGATTCTTGATTCTCTACCAAATTATTAGTCAGTTATTCAACCACTGTGATCAATGTCAATACTGATGATTAAGTATTTTTTTCTAAATCTAAGGTCAGCTACTCAATGTCTTATCTGCTGTTTTGCATGGCAACATTGATAACTATTGGACATTGCTTTAAATTTATTGTATTATATCTCAGATTGTTGTTGCTTCTTCTAAGAAAAATTATCATTTTTGTAAGCATATATAAATAGTTTTTCAATAAATTATTTGGCTAACTCAGAAATTGTTGTAGTCGCTTAAACTTTGTGGATTTTGAGGTTTGTTTTGCAGAATATTTGGATCAATGGCTCGCAGTACGTAGAAGTACCAGATCATGTAGCGATTTTTAGTCTAAAATGCAGATGTGTGGAATGTAGATATCAGCTGTACTTCCTCGGAGCAGCCAGGCATTTTGTATACATTAAAAGCGAACTTCAAGTAGCCTCTTGCAGACCTTGCATAAGATTCTATTGAGATATCTCTACAAGTAATCTGCCCGCCATGAATAAATAGATATTCCATCTGAAAAATAAACTAATGTGTGGAGCTAGGAGTGTTTTAAGGAGAACCTTCTCATTGGGTTTATAATAAAACAATAAAGACATTTCAGGTCAACTCATATAATGAAATAATACGCCACCATGCCACTAACGATCGTACGTGCTAAATTGCGAAGCTATGAACAGAAAGATGTGTTTATCAGTGTTACGAAAGTATTTGACAACTGTGTAGCCTCATCATTCGCTGAAACAGAATGCTTTGTTTGATTAGGACATGATCATTACAATTTGGGATAGCGTGAAGTATGTGGATTCAATTTGCCCTTAGATATGACCAAAATGTTTCCACCAAAATCATTTCATCGCATATGAAAGTAAATCAATTTGCGAATTATCTGTTATCGACACTTCGCTGCAATTGAACCTTTT